CTACTTTCCAGTTGCTGTGACTTGAAGTTGCACAGATATGAATGGTACTCATTGGTAAAACATGGGGTGTGCCTTGTCATGTGGCATTGGACCCCAAAGTCACATGACAAGTTGCACAAATATGAATGGACTCTAAAACAGGCAGTGAGGAGGCAATATCGCCTGTGAAAAGCAATCTGATTGCGTATCATTCTTCAGAGGAGCGGTGGGTTTAGACATACGTCTAACACTGGCCATAAACGGGTCGAAAATCGGACGATTTTTCGGCCGATAAAAAAATCGACTGATTTTTGCACCGTTAGTGGGTTAATTGGTCGGCTGTTGTTTGGGGTTTTTGCACATTTTTTTTTGTCGTGCATGTTGGAGAATTCGCGGCCGATTTTGACGATCAAACGATTTTCCCGGCAATGATGGGCAAATCAGAGAAGAAGAAAAAGAAGAAGAGGAAGAAGTCCAGTCCACTATTATATTTTATATGGAAAAGTCTTGGATACAAATGTATCCGTTTGTATCCAAATAAAAACATTGTAATCCAAATAATGTATTTGCATTGCTGTCACATTTTATGGTGTGCTCCCGTCTCTGCAAGGGACAGAAGTTATGGGGTTAATGCCGGCCGTAGACGGGTCGAAAATCGGCCGATTTTTTTAACGTTGGTGGTAATGTCGGCCGATCGAACGACTGATTTTTCGTTTTTTTTTTTTTCAAATGTTAAACCCGTCTATGGCCTCCCTAAATCTAGATTTAATGTTAGGCTGGAACTCCACTTTATCTATCAACTGAAATCCACTTTGAAGTGTGCGCCATAGTGATCAAATGTGTTGTTGACTACAGATTGATTATTCCTATTGGAAGAGATCAAACAGAAAAGATATTGATCATTTATTGAAGTGTGTGTGGCCACCATAAGGCTGGTCATATACTGTACAATCTGATTGTACAATTTCCTTTAAATCTACCATCAACTATCTGGTACAAGGGGCCTGCCTGATTGGATACCGATTAGGTTTTGTCCTCATATTACAGTTAAGGGCTCATCTCCACTTGTGGTTGATGGGTGGTAAAATCCTGAGGTTAAGCTGTGTTTTTTTCCACCCTTCAAACACTCCCCCTGCCCAGAAGCAGCAGCCAGGGATGTACACATGCTGTGGCTGCGATGTTTTCCTTCACGGCCGCAGCAGGAATATATCCCCATTGCACTCAATGGGCACTACCACCCACTGAGTGCGACCCATTCAAGTGAATGTGGCCACACTGCAACCTCCAACAACATGCGCACTTCTGGCTCAGTTGTCCGACATTTAAAGCGGAATTAAACCCAAAACCAAAAATGTAATATATTTCAGCTTACCAATCATTAGATTTGGCAGCTGCATTAGTTTTCTTTCCCTCAGTTTTCACCTGGTGATCTGGTAAGTAATACACCTCCTGTATTAGTGAGACACAATTCTAGAGGAATGAGCACGGGAGGCACAGCAGGCAGCAGCATGGTCAGTCTAGAGGAGAGAAGTGTTAAATGTATTAGCAGATTTAAATACACTAACAAACTGAAGCCAAACTCCCGCTCACACTGTGTAACCAGCTACAGTAAACAGTTTTTTTTTTCTTTTGAGATAAAGGTTTAACAGGAATAAATAAAAGCTGATAATTGTAATCACCTCTGTCAGTGGTAAATGGTTTGTCTCAACCATGTAAACTGATACATTTCACTGGAGAGCTTGTGCTTCCAAAAACAACAGACTTGCTGGGTGGATCACCAGGTCAAAACAGAAAAAAGAAAGCCGAAAAAAGAAAACGAGTGCAGCCACCACATCTGAGAATTGGTGAGCTACAGTATAATAAATGTTTGCTTTTGGCTTTGAAGCGTTTGTAAAGGTTCAAGGTTTTTTACCTTTATACAGTCTATGCATGAAGGTAAAAAACCTGTGTGCAGCAGCCCCCCCCCCCCAGATACCTACCTGAGCCCCCTCTCGTTCCAGTCATGTGCATGAAAGCACCGGCTACCCTGGGTCTCTGTCTTCTCATTGGCCAAGACAGCAGCAGAAGCCATTGGCTCTTGCTACTGTCAATCACACTTGGTGAGCCAATGAGAAGAGAACGGGGAGGGGCCAAGCTGTGCTATGTGTGTGAATGGTCACACAGAGCATCGGCTCGGGAGGGAGCCTACTCTGATGTTCCCATAGCAAGCTGCTTGCTTTGGGGGCACTTGGCAGGAGGGAGGGGCCAACAGTGCCTGCGGGGGACCCGAGGAGAGGAGGATCAAGGCCACTCTGCGCAAAACCATTACACAGAGCAGGTAAGTATGACATTTGTTATTTTTTAAAACCTGACTTTAGTATCACTTTTATTACTGCTTTAAGGGGTAAAACAGGAAGTAAGGAGGCGATACAACACCTTCCCACCACCTGACGAATACTCTGAAGAGTGATTCAAACATGGGTCGCTTTTCAGAGAGCAAAGCAAGTGTGAATGAGCTCTAAGGCCTCGTTCACACCATACATACAGAAAAAATTTCACTTGCAGAGACATCCGTTTTACATCAGTTTTAATGCGTGCTGCAATGAATTTTATACATGATGCAGATTCCTGCGCAGAAACAACCTGCACATGATACCAGTGTTGTGGTGTGAACAGGGCACATAGAGAACAATTGATCTTGTTGTGCCCTTGTGGAACGCAAGCAGAAAAACTGACGGCTCTGCACCATGGTGTGACCTAGCCCTTAAAGCAGAGCTCCAGCTACAAAGGGAAGTTCCACTTCAACCACTTCAACACCAGGCACTTATACCCCCTTCTTGCCCAGGACAATTTTCAGCGCTGTCGCACTTTGAATGACAATTGCACAGTCATGCAACCCTGTACCCATATGATATTTTTATAATTTTATTCACACAAATAGAGCTTTTTTTGGTGGTATTTAACCACTGCTGAGTTATTTTTTTTGCTTAAAAAAAAACAAAAAACACCTGAAAGGTTTGAAAAAACAAAAAGCAAAAAAAAAAAACAAAACACACTTTTCTTCTTGTTATAAAATTTTGCAGATAAATAAAATTTCTTCATAAATTTAGGTCAAAATGTATTCCGCTACATTTCTTTGATGAAAATAATAATAATAATTGAATTTGCATTTTTTTCAAGTGTTTCTATTATTTTTTATTACATTTTTTCTTTTTTTTTTTACTATTTTATTTTTCAGCACACTGTGACCATAGTAACAATGAACTACCCTGGGAAAGTGATCAGGATTTTATTTTAACACATTATGATTGTGAACACCAATGTATTTCATTAATATTTGCAATCATTGTTACTGAATGAAACTGATTCATTCAGTCTTTAGTTGTGATTAGCGGTGATTGAGCAAAGCTGATCACATGATACAGATGGGCTGTGAATGGCCCTGTCTGTATCATGTGACTGCCTTGACCAGTTACAGCTAACAACATAATTGTATACAATGGATGGCATGGCAGGAAGCCATCCATTGTGTACAATTGACATGTGATCTGCTGTGATTGGTCACAGCAGTCACATGACACTGGCAACGGTCCGATGTACTGATACATCATCGGCTGTGTCCCGTGGACACAGCCGGTGACAGATCGTGCCACTGCATGGCCCCACGGCCACGTGAACGGCTCCTTTTGACATGACATCATATGACGCCCAGTCACAATGAGGAGTGTCCCGCCTGGCTGTCAATCTGCTATAGGCCGGGTGGGAAGGTGTTAAGTACTGGTCCCCCACCTTTGGGGAGCGGATACCCGATGTTGACAGATACCCGCTGCAATCATCTAGGCGATCAGAAGCGGAAGTTGTCCTCCCCCCTCCCTCCCCGTAGTCTTCTGGAACACATGACAGGTCCCAGAAGACTACGGGGCCATTCACAAAGTGCAGAGCTTCTCGCACATGCGCAGTTGGCACACAGATGTGAAGCCGCAAGCTGTCACAGCCGGGTGCCCACACTAAAGATGCCGGCACTGGGGAGAGAAGATGGCCGGTGAAACCAGTGGTGGTGAGGACACCTCTGGACCGAGGGACTGGTGAGTGGCTGTTTTTTAAAAGTCAGCAGCTACAGTTTTTGTAGCTGCTTTTTATTTTTTGGTTTGGCTGCAGCTCTGCTTTAAAGTGTTACTAAACCCACAACAGTAATATCAGTCTGTATATACATGCTTGTTATACTCACTGGGGAACCTAAGGGGTTAATCCTCTGCATTGTGTGAAAAGGCTGTTTGATCCTCTCTTCTCTGATCCTCCCCTTCTTCTACTGTCCCCAATCCATCTGCTGTTAGTACAGAGCTCTAGGAGGTACTCTGCACATGCTCAGTTTGGTGTGTATTGCTAGAGGTTTTTTTTACTTTGGAAAGGTGCATGTGATCCACACAGGGCCAATTAGCACTGTCCAGACAGAGGGTCAGGGGTCATGCACCCTCATAGGACAGTCAGAACAGAATGAAAACTCTTCATAAAACAATTAAACAGTGCTGTGCTGGACACTGATAGTCACAAGACTGCTATATACTGCTGATTAGAAAAGGTATTTAGCAGTTTATATTTACTAAAATAATTGCATTTACATGTTCTGTGTACTGTGGGAGACCAGATATAGTGAATGCAGGGTCCGGGGAGACCAGATATAGTGAATGCAGGGTCTGGGGAGACCAGATATAGTGAATGCAGGGTCCAGGGAGACCAGATATAGTGAATGCAGGGTCCAGGGAGACCAGATATAGTGAATGCAGGGTCCGGGGAGACCAGATAGTGAATGCAGGGTCCGGGGAGACCGGATATAGTGAATGCAGGGTCCGGGAGACCGGATATAGTGGAATGCAGGGTCCGGGGAGACCGGATATAGTGCATGCAGGGTCCGGGGAGACCGATATAGTGGATGCAGGGTCCCGGGGAGACCGGATATAGTGATGCAGGGTCCGGGGAGACCGGATATAGTGGATGCAGGGTCCGGGGGAGACCGGATATAGTGCATGCAGGGTCCGGGGAGACCGGATCCGGGGAGATCGGATATAGTGGATGCAGGGTCCGGGGAGACCAGGGTCCGGGGAGATATATAGTGAATGCAGGGTCCGGGGGGATATAGTGACCGGATATAGTGAATGCAGGGTCCGGGGGAGACCGGATATAGTGGATGCAGGGTCCGGGGAGATAGTGCATGCGGATATAGTGAATGCAGGGTCCGGGGGACCGGATATAGTGAATGCAGGGTCCGGGGGGACCGGATATAGTGAATGCAGGGTCCGGGGGGACCGGATATAGTGAATGCAGGGTCCGGGGAGACGGATATAGTGAATGCAGGGTCCGGGGAGAGATATAGTGATCGGATATAGTGGATGCAGGGTCCGGGGGACCGGATATAGTGGATGCAGGGTCCGGGGGACCGACCGGATATAGTGAATGCAGGGTCCGGGGAGACCGGATATAGTGAATGCAGGGTCCGGGGGGACCGGATATAGTGAATGCAGGGTCCGGGGTTTAGTAACACTTTAAGGTCTCTGTTAGAGGAGCGGTTGGGGGCCATAAAACTGGGCGGCTGAGCTGAAGTTTTGCACCCCCTGTGAACTGTAAAATAAAAGCTGGACAGGTCTAGGTACTTGTCTGTTAATTCACCGGATTTATATATATATATATATATATATATATATATATATATATAAAATCCGGTGAATTAACAGACAAGTACCCAGGTCTATACACACACCACCGCTGCAGCATTTTATCTCTGGGTGCATAGTGTGAGAGGTGTCACACCGCCTGTCATACTCACCCACTTCAATGGGGCCACAACTGTGTACAAAACGTGATTCTGGTGCAGTAGTGCGCTATTATAGCATGAAATCCACCATATATATGCCTCCTCATTGCCTGTCACATGCCCTCTGAATAGCGATCCAAGCACAGATCACACTTCAGATGGCACTGCACACTATTGTGAGTATAATGGGATGGGAGTGAGATTGTACAATCAGATTGCATGGTGTATGGCACAACATTCCCTTGCACAGTGTACAGTAGTGAGTGAACCCCACTGATTGGTGAGAGAAGTGTATCTTCGTGCTGACTTAGTATTTCCTCCCCCCCCCGATACCCACTAACAGTGAGATGACACCGTGCCAGGCATTGCGGTGACCCGTCTCCATCAGATTTGTCCCGGTCTCCCCCCTCCAATCCCTCACATCGCTCCCACCGAGGATCCGCCGATCTCAGGCCGGACACTCCGAGAAGTTTTCTCCTTCCACTCTTCTCCCTGCCAGGAGACAGACAGGGCGAGCATCCAATCAGCGCAGGGCGTTGTGCCTGGGCGGGGCGGATCCCGCGGACTGCGCGTGTGCGGAGAGGCTTTCTGCTGTCCGGAGTGGAGCGGCTCCGTGTGCGGGGAGAGGAAAGTTGATACATTTGTAGCGAGCGGAGGAGCGGAGAGTCCATTGTGTGTCCGAGAGAGAGGGGAGGCCGGGGAGAGCAGAGCCGGGCCGGGAGAGACGCGGAGCCATGACCTGGAATGTCATCTCCCCGGACACACTTGTTGCTGGATAAGCAGGAGGTGAGGAGAAGCGGGGGGAGGGGAGGAGGAGGAGGAGGGGGGGGCTGGGGTCACCCAGACGAAGGGGGCATGGGCTGTGACCTGCCGGGGGTTAACTCTTCCACTGCCGGACGGGACGACCTGCTCCTGACTTCCAGGCCGGCTGACCTCCTTCTGTAATGGGACATATTCACCTCTGTTGTCACCATCATTCCTCTCCGGGTGGGAAGGAGCTAATTCCCCCCCTTTGTGACTCATTTACCCCAGATGCAGTCAGTGCATTTGTTTCTAAACGCGATATACTCACGCATGCAAGAAAAACGCACTCCGAGGCCGCGTTTATCCAGCGCCGAAATGCACCGTAAACGCACTGAAAATGCATTAGAATGCGCATTCAGAAACTTGCAGTGATGGGAGGGAATGCACCGTAAATGCACCGGAATGCACCGTAAACGCATTAGAAACTGCACATGCAGAAACTTGCAGTGATGGGGGAGGGAACGCACCGTAAATGCACCGCAATCGCGCCGGAACGCATCGTAAACGCACTGAAAATGCATTAGAATGCGGATTCAGAAACTTGCAGTGATCGGAGGGAACGCACAGTAAACGCGCCGAAATGCACCGTAAACGCACTGAAAATGCATTAGGATGCACATGCAGAAGCCTACAGTGACGGGACGGATTGTGGTGGGAGGGGCGGGTCACTATCACCATCCGACGTCATGTGGACTTGTGATTCCTGCGAACATCATCGTGGAGTTGTAATTCCTCTCCAGGTAGGAAAGCGTTAATTCTCCCCTTTGTGACCTCAACACTTGTAGGGCTCATTCACACCAAATGGAATCAGCGCATTTAAAAAAAAAACGCAAGAAAAACGCACTCAGAGGCCTCTTTATCCAGCGCCGGAACGCACCGTAAACGCACTGAAAATGCATTAGAATACGCATGCAGAAACTTGCAGTGATGGGAGGGATTGTGGTGGAAGGGGCGGTTCACTGTCACGATCTGTCGGCCCACGGACATCATGTGCGCTCATAATTCCTCTCCAGGTGGGAAGGGGTTAATTCCCCCTTTGTAACCTCAACACTTGTAGGGATCATTTACCCCAGATACAGTCAGCGCATTTTTTTTTAAACCCGATACAAGAACATATGCAAGAAAAATGTACTGTGACGCTGCGTTCTCCTTCATCGAAACGCACTGAAAATGCATTAGGATGCGCATGCAGAAACTTGCAGTGATGGGAGGGATTGTGGTGGAAGGGGCGGGTCACTGTCACCATCCAACGTCATGTGGACTTGTGATTCCTGCGGACATCATCATGTGGAGTTGTAATTCCTCTCCAGGTAGGAAAGAGTTAATTCTCCCCTTTGTGACCTCAACACTTGTAGGGCTCATTTACCCCAGATGCAGTCAGTGCATTTGTTTCTAAACGCGATATAACCACGCATGCAAGAAAAACGCACTTAGGGGCCGCGTTTATCCAGCACCGGAACGCACCGTGAACGCACTGAAAATGCATTAGAATGCGCATGCAGAAACTTGCAGTGATGGGAGGGAATGCACCGTAAACGCGCCGGAACGCACCGTAAACGCACTGAAAATGCATTAGGATGCGCATGCAGAAACCTACAGTGACGGGAGGGATTGTGGTGGAAGGGGCGGGTCACTGTCGCCATCCAACGTCATGTGGACTTGTGATTCCTGCGGACATCATCACGTGGAGTTGTAATTCCTCTCCAGGTAGGAAAGAGTTAATTCACCCGTTTGTGACCTCAACACTTGTAGGGCTCATTCACACCAGATGCAGTCAGGCGCTTTTTTTTTTTTTTTAAACACGATTCAGGTGAAACTTACTCTCAGGCTGCGTCTTTCCAGCACCAGAACGCACCGCAAACACGTTCGAATGCGCATGCAGAAAGGCACAGTGACGGGAGGGATTGTGGTGGAAGGACCGGTTCACTGTCATGATCTGACAGCATGTGGACTTGTGATTCCTGCAGACACCATCATGTGCACTCATAATTCCTCTCCCGATAGGAAAGAGTTAAATCACCCCGTTGTGACCTCAACACTTGTAGGGCTCATTTACACCAGACGCAGTCAGGCACTTTTTCTTTTTAAACGCGGTACAAGCACATATGCAAGAAAAATGCACTCCAAGGCTGTGTGTTTTCCCAGCTCCGGAACGCACCGCAAACGCAAGGGAAAAAATGATTCCAAAGGCACACTATGAAAACACTGAAAACGCACAATTTCAGAGTCACATTCAGTGTGAAGCAGGGTTTGTACACCTGTGTGTACAGGCACATTGAAAATCACTTAAAATAAAAAAAATTGCAAACTTTAGAAAAAATAAATAAACGCCCGTATACCTAAAATGCTGCATTTTTAGACAGAAGAGTGTGAGGGATCTAGAAGCTATTTAGTGAAGACATTAGATTGAAATAAATGGAAAAGCACTACAAGCAAACTGAAAACGCATTCCTATGTGCATATAGAAATGTACGGTGACAGGAGAGATTGAGAAGGACAGAGACAGAATGAGCCCTTCAAGATGAAGTTGAGTATTTTTATTTGGCCGGTTTTTTTTAATCCAGCACCAGCTTGTTCATCGTGTAGGACGATGTGTATCCCATTAACTGCAACTGGTAAAAACATTCTCCCCCTGTAGTGCTGGATATCGCCCCCAGCTCCTGTCTTCTGCCACACCTAGATGTAGGATTCGTTCACACTTGCCTTGGTCTCTGAAAAGTGATCCACCTTCAGATCGCTCTTCAGAGAGCATTTGAGAGGCAGTGTGGAGGCATATACTTTTAACCCCTTTAAAACCTGCATTAGCACTCCATAACCATGATTGGGTGGGAAGCGGGGTGCTTGCAGAGCGGCCCCATTCACTTGAATGGGTTGTGACAGGGTAGCATGATTCCTATCATGTGTACACCCCCCATCACTGCCACTGCAGCTAAAGAGGGGTAGCAGTTGAGGAGGCAGTAAAAAGCGCTGGTCAACCGCGGGGTTATAACTCCTTCCAAATGCTATTGTGAACAAGCCCTCCAAAGTGACACTGAACTCTGATATAAAATATGAGGGGTCTTCAAAAAGCTTCTACACATATATATAGAATATAGAATAAAGTCTTAAAGCGGAGTTCCAGCTGAAAAAAAACAAAGTCAACAGCTACAAAAACTGTAGCTGCTGACTTTTAAAATACAGCCACTTACCTGTCCCTCAGTCCAGCGGTGTCCTCACCACCTCTGGTTTCACCGGCCGTCTTCTCTCCCCGGTGCCAGCATCTTTGGTGTGGGCACCCGGCTGTGACAGCTTGTGGCTTCACAGCTGGGTGCCCACTGCACATGTGCGAGAAGCGCTACACTTTGTGAATGGTCCTGTAGTCTTCTGGGACCTGTCACATGTCCCAGAAGACTACGGGGAGGGAGGGAGAACAATTTCCGAGGCAATCGCAGTGGAAGTGGGTACCCGGTCCCCAAAGGCGCCAATCCTTAATGGGGGGACAAAGCATTAAAGCGGAACTTCCCCTTTTGGGTGGAACTCTGCTTTGAAGTGTAAAACCCTCATATTATTATTATTGTACAGTATTTATAAAGCGCCAATGGTTCGCTCAGCGCTGTACATTGCAAAGGGGGACAGAACATGTCTCATATATTCTATTCTATAAAAATACATTCTTAACATAGAACTTGAGGCAAAAGTTGTGTTTTTTTTTTTTCTCATTTTGTATAGAGTAAGGGGGCGTTATAACCCGTCATTTATTTTTGCCATCTGTGTCCCATTGGAGAGATTTCCCTTCACTTCCTGTTCCATAACCAAAGCAGGAGGTGACAAAAAATCCCTCCAAAGTGGGGGAACTAGTGTCCCTAGTGGAAGATTTTCTCTCTTTTCCTGTTCAGGGGACAACTGGAAATTTGGGATCTTCTATCACTCTGTGCTAATGGTTAACAGGACATTTACAGAGGATGAGTCTCCCTAATGGGGACACAGACAGCAATTAAACCTGTCAGGGGTTCCAATCCCTCTCCACTTTATCCAAAACTAAAAAAGTTCTGCCTTTAGTTATGCTTGAAGGCTCATTACTTTTTGCTTTGATCTCTGAAGAGCAATCTGCATTCAGATCTCTCTTTGGAGAGCCTTTGACAGGTGGTGAGAAGGTGCTATAACCCCTTGATGGGCACTAGCATGTCACAACCACAATTGCAGAGTCCTTTCACTTGAATGGGTCATGTTCGGCAGGTGCTACACACGCTGAAAGTGACTGGGCGGGGGGGTGGAAAGTTTTAAAAAAAACTACTTGTCCAGGGACTAAATAGGTGTCCTAATCTACTTGTCCTCATAAAAGAAAAAAAAAAAGGAATTTTAACCAAAACCGTATTTAAATCTTAGGTGCTGTTAGTAATGTCTGGGGCTATTAAAAACAAAAGGGGCTTTACAGGGACTTAAACGTTTAATATTTTTAACATTGCACTGTCAAACTCCTCTCCCCCCCCACCCGCCTGTCACCAGCCCTGCATCGGGGACTTGTAGGGAGTGGGGGAGACCTTGCAGTGTAGTGAGCACCGATTGGCTGCTCGTCAGGGAGGGGGGAGTGTCCAGTTTATCCTTTATCCCTTTCGCTTGCGGCTTTACAGCCAGGTGCCCACTGCGCATGTGCGAGAAGCGCTACGCTTTCTAAACAGCCCCGTAGTCTCCTGGGACCTGTCACGTGTCCCAGAAGACTATGGGGAGGGAGGGGGTGTGGCCAATTCCACTTATGATCACTTAGGCAATCGCAGCGGAAGTTTGAGTGGGTACCTGTCAAAATCTGGGTACCCCCGCTCCCCAAAGGTGCCAATCCTTAACGAGGGAGTGGGGGGGGAGCGAAGCCTTGAAGTGGAATGCGTTAATTCATAAATTCCTGCTATAACTCTCAGCCTCCTCCAAATT